ATGGGACAGAGCTGCTGTTTAGCCTGGACCAAATCCTCACTACAGCTGCAACATCAGCGCGCCAACACAAACAAGAGTCTGGGACTGAGTCTAGGGGTGTGCACACTCTGGGGCGGGGTCACTGTTGTCTAGCTATATAAGCTTCAGTTATTATGTGTTTTGTTAATGCTATTCACTTCTAATTCTGTTAATCCCTGTTTAGTTCAGTAAAGATGGTTTATTTTAAGTGTTCTATTAGATGTATATGATTTGTAGTTGTTCTGGAATTAGATCCAGATTTATGTTGGAATGAGTACAGGCAGTCCCCGGGTTACGTACAAGATAGGGACTGTAGGTTTGTTCTTAAGTTGAATCTGTATGTAAGTCAGAACTGGTGTCCAGATTCAGCGGCTGAATCTGGATGCCAGTTCCGACTTACATACAGATTCAACTTAAGAACAAACCTACAGTCCCTATCTTGTACGTAACCCGGGGACTGCCTGTACAAGAAAAACAATTAAAAAAAAATTAGAACAGGTAAAACTGAAGAGTCAGTGATTAATAATGACAGAGCATGGTGCAGTGAGATGGTGAGGGCTCCAATTGGTTAACCCATCAGAAGAAGGGGCTTCCACAAAATAAGGTCTGGAGCCATTGAACGAAAATAGACTGACTTTATCTTTAAGCTACTATAATTAACGCCATATCCAGGATTTGGGATATGTGGTAGCTAGTCTGGTATGTTCAAAATTTCTTCAATAGATGAGGCCCCATTACTCTGTGTAAATTCTCAAGAACTCATTTCTATTGATGTTTTGTTTTTTGTCGTTTGATTTCCTGCCAATATTATCCATCATCTCTATGGTTCCATTTTGTCTTCAGGTTACCTACAACAACCCAGAATGGTTTTATCGGCATGTTGCCATTCATGCATACTCTACTGAGAAAGAAAACATTCCCAATAACAAGAAAGCTGTTTGTTGTCACTGGAAAGGTAGCTCAGATAACAAAATGTGGAATATTGCCCAAGTAATTTCACTGCCACTATAAAATTTACTGAGTATTCTACAAAACACAAGAATATTAGATACCTTCACACAGCCTTTTCCTAGTCATCTTAAATAAAGTTCTTTATGTACATTGTATGCTCCCTCATTAGTTTAAATGGATTGCACTAGCAATGCCAACTCATATTATTAAAAGCCTAGGATGCAAGAGTTCAATCTTCAAAGTTTCAAGTACTTTAATTCCTATTTGACCTCAGTGGGAATTGAAAACTTTCAACACCCACAAGCTTGGGATCCTACACTGAAGGCATGTTTTTGAGTTTAGAATAACAGTCGTGTTGTCCTAAAACTTTTAACCACTTTGTAAGACTGACAAAACAGTAATCTAATATGCATAACATTCTGAACATAACTTCACTGGGAATTTTGCCTATGTCAGTAATCCCCAAACTGTGGGGCATGTCCCTCTAGGGGGGCACGGAGGAACATTCAGAGGCATGCATGGTGGGGTCAAGGCTAGTGCCCAGAGGGGGTAGGGCGAGTCCTCCATACAGCCCAGCTCATCCCTCAGGCCAGCTCCAGCCCCAACCATAGTTACATTCTGTCCCCAGACCAGCTCTGCCTCAAGCTCCAGCTCCTTTGTCAGCCTAAGCTGAGGAGTGGTGGAAATGAGGATACAGAGAGATTCCACTATTGGTGAGGGGGCAGGCAGGAAAAGTTTGGTCACCACTGGTCTAAGCCAAAGCCCACTGAAGTCAGTGGAAATCATTCTATTGATTTTTCATATGCTTTTGAACAGGCCTATATAGAATTTGCAAATTGAACTCATTGTAGTGTTTATGGTAGTAACGTGATGAAATTTCCTAAAAACATTTTAGTTATGCTCCTCTAAAAATCATGTAATAGTGGACTATAAGTATATAATACAATCTTTCATGTTTGTACTCCAAAGAAAATAAAATGCTCATGTGCAGCTTTTGTGTAATCTTATATAGTATGTTTTTTAGATTGTTCAAGAACATTTAAAGGAAAGTACAAGCTGTGGGATCACTTAAGGACCCACACTCAAGAACGAGTGGTGGCCTGTCCCTCTTGTGGAGTGATGTTTTCCAATAATACCAAGTTTTTTGATCACGCCAGGCGACAGGTTTCAGAAGATCGTAAGTGGGCTTGCTCTGTTTCTATGTTTACGTTTACTAAAGGGATTTACTTTTGGGCTACTTTACAACAGTACATATATAACACCTATTATTATTTTTCATAAATGTCAATTACATGCAGAATTGACTTTAGGAAGGCAGATTTCTTCCTGAAGCATGGATGTACTTTTAGCTTTGTAAAGATTGCCCTACGTAAACAATTAATTGCATTAATGGGCAAAAGAGAGAGCACTTACACATGCATGTTTAATTACAGTGGGTAAGTCTACACAGCAGGGCTAAAGTCAAATTAAGTTATGCAATTTCAGCTGTATCTGTTGTGTAGCTGAAGTCAAAATAGTTTCTCAGCCTTAGGCGCTGTCTACACACCAGGAAGTCGAAGAAAGAACACTCTTCCTTCTACTTCCTTTACTCCTCGTAAAATGAGGGTTACAGGAGTCGGAGTAAGTTCTCCAGCTCAACATTATTTCGAAATAATGGCTTGTAATGTAGACGTGTTCTTTATTTCGGAATAACATTAGTTATTCCAAAATAACGCTGTGGTGTAGACCTACCCAGTGGCTATTCAACTGACAGATGTGGCATTACATTGTAAAACTAGTGATTGCCTCTCACTCCAATGCCCAGGGCTTCTCAGGGCAACTGCATTCCACGACTAGAACAATGAAACTGAATACCAATAGGAGAGGCTGAGTGCTGGAGGCAGAACTCTTAACAGAAAATGGAGTTTCAGATTATGAAGTTCACTTCTGCAACCAATCTAAATGATCATGGAACTAACTACTTTCAGAACTAAATGCAACACTCTCATGAGCTTAGATTTTTACTCAATACACTCTTCCCTTCAACAAACTATAAACTAATCAGGATATTTTTCCTACAGGCCAGGAAGGGAGAGAGAGAGATAATTGGGTTTCTTTAATACTTGGAAAGTTCTCAGGTACTATGGGTGCTAAGGTGATAGGGTCTATGTAAGAACTCAAGCCATAAATCTCAAAAAACTAAGAACGGCCATACTGGGTCAGACCAAGATCCATCTAACCCAGTATACTGTCTGCCAACAGTGGCCAATACCAGATGTCCCAGAGGGAGCGAACACAACAGGTAATCTTCACGTGATCCCTCTCCTGTCACCCATTTCCAGACAAACAGAGGCTAGGGACACCATTCCTACCCATCCTGGCTAATAACCATTGATGGACCTAACCTCCATGAATCTATCTAGCTCTTTTTTGAACCCGGATAAAGTCCTAGTCTTCATCACATCCTCTGGCAAGAAGTTCCACAGGTTGGCTGTGCACTGAAACCTGCTGCCTCTTAATTTCATTTGGGGACCCCTAGTTCTTATATTGTGTGAATAAATAAATTACTTTTCCTTACTCACTTTTTGCACATCAGTCATCATTTTAGAGACCTCTATCATATCTCCCCTTAGTCTTCTCTTTTCTAAACTGAAAAGTCCAAGTCTTTTTAATCTCTCTTCACATGGGACCCGTTCCAAACCCCTAATCATTTTTGTTGTCCTTTTCTGACTCTTGCCAATATATATTTTTTGAGATGAGGTGACCACATCTGTACACAGTATTCCAGATGTGGACATACCATGGTTTTATATAGAAGCAATAAGATATTTTCTGTCTTATTTTCTATCCCTTTTTAAATTATTCCTAACATTCTATTTGCTTTTTTGACAGCTGCTGCACACTGAGTGGATGTTTTCAGAGAACTATCCACAGTGACTCCAAAATCTCTCTCTTGAGTAGTTGTAGATAAATTAGTCCCCATCATATTGTGTGTACAATTGGGATTATTTTTTCCAATGTCCATTACTTTACATTTATCAACATTACATTTCATTTGCCATTTTGTTGCCCAATCACTTAGTTTGGTGAGATCTTTTTGAAGCTTTTCACAGTCTGTTTTGGTCTTAATTATCTTGAGCAGTTTGGCATCATCTGCAAATTTGGCCACCTCACTGTTTGCCCCTTTTTCTAGATCATTCATAAATAAGTTGAATAGAATTGATCTCAGGACAGACCCTTGGGGACCCCACTAGTTACTCTCTCCACCCTGTAAACTTACCATTTATTCCTACTCTTTGTTTCCTGTCTGAAACTGTTAATATTTTTAAACAGATTGTTGTCTGTTCAGAATAAAATTAATTTTATTGCTAATGAAAATTCTGCATTATCTGAAACAAGATTTTCTTCTAAAAAACATCAGAAATACAAAATAATACAGGTGGGACCTCAGCGGTCCTGAACCATGGAGTTTGCCAGACCTAGGGAGATCAAGGCTCCCCTCCTGGCTGTTGACCCTATTCCTGGGTGCCAGTCCTGGCTTCCTGGTGCTCCTAACTGCCTGCCCTGTTGTCTCCAGCCCTGCCAGGGCTCTGCTCCCTGCCCAGGCATGGGGCTGCACTCCCCACCGTACCAGCATGAGCTGGGCCCCCGGTCGCCAGCCCCGCTGCTTCCAGCTGAGCCTGGGATTCACTCCTTAACCTGGGCTGCACTCCCAGCTGCCAGCCACAGACAGGGCTATGCTCCCCACCGCACCCCTCTAGCTGCCGCTGGGGCTGTGCTCCCCACCACCAGCCCAGCTCCTGAATCTATCCAGCCAGAGGCTCTCTGATCTAGCAATATCTGTGGTCCTGCCAGACTGCAAATGTTACCAGACCCAGAATGTCCTGGATTTTAGAGGTTCAATCTATACTGAAATTGTTTCACTGCTGTGACAGTTTTGTGATCAAATTGGCAACTGTAATCTGTGTTTTTAAAACAGATTAATAAATATCTATTGTATCACTGATCAGTTGCCATTATATTTCAGAACAAGTATTTATTTGTCAGAATTGTGGCAAACACTTTGCCAATGAGAGGTTACTACGAGATCATGCAAGAGGACATGGTGAGTTTGAGTTTTTTAAAATGTATTTTCCATTAAACTATGTAGGGCAGCTACATAGGATAGGGCATTAGGATATTTGTTCATGTGTTAACTAAGAGATACAGTATACAGACTGAAGGCAATTATGAAGGCAATTGTGGGTAAACAGAAGTCTTACTATTAGAGTCCATATGAGATGGTTTTCTTCTCTTATCATTCCTACTAATTTAGACAATGAGAAGTTCTATGGCACCTTAGAGACTAACAGATTTATTAGGGCATAATCTTCCAATAAGCTTTTGTGGATAAAACCCCACTTCATCAGATGAATTGGAGTGAGTTTACAGAGGCCTGGGTATATATAAGGACAACAAAAGAAAGAGAGTACTTGTGTAAATGAGGCTAATCAAGTCAGGGTGGAAGTGGTTCATTCACAGTAGTTGATATTGAAATGTGGATATCAAGAGAGGGGAAATTGCCTTTTAACTCCACTCCAATTCATCTGATGAAGTGGGTTTTACCCATGAAAGCTTATGCCCTAATAAATCTATTAGTCTCTAAGGTGTCACAGGACTCCTTGTTGTTTTTGCAGATACAGACTAACACGGCTACTCCTCTGAGACTTTTCACTTGTTTAGGACTTTCTCCTCCTCATGTCCCCACATGATTATAAAGGTTGAGTATTACAGTTCCTTCTTAAGGTTTGTCTTCATGGAGAAGTAATTCTAGAGTTAAATAAGTTGTAATTTTAAAGCACTAAAGCTTTTGGAATAAGAGTGACTTTTTATAATCTAGTTTAATGAATTTTCCAAGTGGATTAAGCTCAATAAGAAAAGGGCACTCTTATTCCGGAATAAGAGTGTCCACATGTAGAGCTACCTAGTAGTAGCTACTGAGGCCTTGTCTATATTTATCGGAAGATTGACACTCTGGAGGTCAGTCTTCTGGGGTTCAATTTAGCAGGTCTAATAAGACAAGCTGTTAGCATGCCTTACTATATATATATTTTATATTGACTGCCCGAAAAGCATCAGATTAATTAGAAAATGACACATTTTGTTTAAACCCTCCCCAAAATGTAGATCCTGGCTAAATTCAGAGTTTCCTGTTACATGCACTCCTACAAAATCCCTACCATTGTGCCATAAGGAAATAGGTAATTATGGTTTTACTATAATAGGCCCTAGACTAGATCAAGGTTGGGCAAACTATGACCCATAGGTTACATCCAGCCTGTCAGCCATTTTAATCCATCCCTCAAGCTCCTGCTGAGGAGTGGGGATAAGGGGTTTACCCTGCTCTGCGTGTGCTATAGCTCGGCTTGGCTTCCAGAAACTGCAGAATGTCCCGCTTCTGGCTCCGATGTGTAGGGGCATCCAGGCGTTCAGCATGTGGTCCCTGACCCAAGCAGCTTCTGCAGCAGTGCCTGCAGATGATGTAGCAAACAGCCGCATGTCAGCACCTTTGCTTCTGGCTGCTGCTTGCTGCTTCTAGGAGCTGCTTGAGGTAATTGCTGCCAGAAGTCTCCTATCTTCCAAACCCTTTGATCCCAGTCCAGAGCTCTTTCCTATACCCCCAGGTGGAGCCTTCACCTCCTCCTGCACTCAAACCCCCATTTTGTGAGCATTCATGGCCCTCAAACATTTTCTATATCCTGATGTGGCCCTCAGGCTAAAAAGTTTGCCCACCCTGCTCTAGAGAGTCAAACTCCCTCTTTCCTTCTGAAATCTGTTTCTTTCTTGATTAAGGCCTTGTATGTACTGGCATGCTTTGTCGCCAAAAACTGCCTATTGGCAACAAAACAATGAGAGCGTTTACACTGTAATGCGACTTTTGCCAGGAAAACCACCCAGTTTTGGCAACAAAACATCCACCCTGCGAGAGATTTTTGTCTTTTCCCCTCCCTCTATTGTCGACAAAGAACCAGTGTGGACTCTGCTGTTTATTTTGTCTAGAAAACTGACTTCCGCCAGTATCCCACAATGCCTGCCCTCATGGCTGTGCTCATTGTCATGTGATTTCTGCTGCCCTGTACACATGCACCCCTCCCCTTTCAAAGCTCTGGGAAGTATCTGGCGCTAAGTGAGCTGCTCCCTTGGGGGAACAAACAAAGAGCAAATCATTGGACTGCTCCTGATGTGCCCTGTACTAGGAACACAGTGGCAGGCAGACTCTTGCTGCAGAGCAGGGGCTGGAGAGACTGCTATGCTGCTTTGACATTCCATAGCATGGAGAGCTCACAGGGGGAATCCCAAGAAGTGCAGGGATCAGCTCTGTCTTCCCACAATACTGCACTGTGGGATGCTTACCATGTTTTTCTCTATCTGTCAACATGATGCTAGCAATGTGGCCATGAAATGTCAGCAATGGGAGGCAGAAAAACTGGTTTGGCTGGTTTTCACTTTTGGTGACTTTTGCATGTTGACAGCACTTTTGTCACCAAACCTTCCCAGTGTAGACAGAATATATAATGACCTTCCTGGTGTAGATATAGACATACCTTTTGAAAATACCTCATATATCTTTTCACCTGCATGTTTATTGAAATGCCCCCTCTTTGGCCCATATTCATTAGCCCTCTGTTCTCTTTCTTTTTTCTTTTGCATTGTATACACAAATTGGTGTTAGTTGATATTTTTAGTGAGAATGGGTTTTTTTAAACGTTTGTATCATATTATACAAATGACTGAGTATCTTGGCAAAGGAGTGACATAAAAGTAAAACTATTATTATTTCTCCAGTTACCCATGCTACATGTCCATTTTGTGACGTGGTGTGTACAAGTGTTTCCTCTCTTAAAGTGCACATCAGATTCCGACACTGTGAGGAGCGTCCTTTTCACTGTGATTTCTGTGAGAGTAGGTAAGCTTTGGAAATCTGGGATAACAAAGATAAAAAAACTTTTAACCCTTAAAATAGCCATCTTTTGCTCAAAAGGAAAATAGGTGGACTCATTCATTAGTCTGTCAGATCACAAAAAGGCACTTCTTTAACTTACAGTGGAAGTAGGATTTAATCTTGGTTTCTTAGCGTCAAAAGATGTCTTCCAGTATGCATACTGTAAGAAAAGATCATCAATAAGCAATTTAAGCCGTGGTTAATAACAATTTTTCCTTTTCATTGGGCATTTCTTAAATTGTTCAGTTTTGTCAACTGGAAGGATTACTGGATATTTTCTGTGAGAGTCACATGCTCCTTTTTTAAATTGGCCTACAGCTGCTGGATCATCTTACCCATTTCCTCTCTGCAGCTTCTATTTTTCTACTCCCCATCTGGTTCTCTAGCTTCCTAGTGTGTCTCTCTCAGCTCTCTTTACTTTTTCCAGTTCAGTCAAAGAGAATACTGATAGTGGCATTGATGGAGCAAAGGGAGGGAGCGTAATGATATAGGACACACATACATAGGCAGGGCAGAATTATATAGGGTCTTAACACCAGTGCGAGCCAGGACTGCTTGGTCCCAGCTCGTGCTGAATTCCAGCAACTCCAGCCCTGGTCCATGGGGGAGCCCAGTTCCCCGCTGGGACCCCTACGGATGGGTTGCTGCTGGAGCAGCCTCTGTCTACAGTGGGTCTTGGCCTGCCGCAGGCAGAAGCTGCTTCATAGCAGCCTCCCCTGTCCCTCCCCTGCCCCCGCTGCTTCTGAAAGAGGCAGCAGGAGGGTGGGCAGGGGGCACTGCGGAGACAGTGTTGAGGGGAACTGGCTTTTAAGCGGCTCCCTCCAGCACCGGCTCCTGTCCCCCACACCTTGCTGACTCTCACAGAGGCAGCAAAGGTAGGGGCGAGTAGTTGATACTCCAGTCAACTATTGGCTAACATCCCTTGCCTAGGGAGAAAGTAGAATCAGAGATTACCCTCAGACCATAACAATAAGAGTTTTGGAAGTATTATTCCTCTTTCAGATTTTTATAATGGAAATAGAGAGGATAAGTGATTGTAGGTTTGGCCCAGCTGTCATGACAGGAGTCAGGGAAGGCCAGATTTGAGTGGCACTACAACAGCATGAGCCAGATCACAACTCCACTCAGACAATTTGGTCCAGTCAAGGGAGCTGGGCCAAACCTGAGTAGCACTGTAATCCCATAGGTTGCAAAGCCTGGATCTTAGAGCCAAGCTTATCCAGCCATCAGCACAGGAGCTGCCTGTGAGGTGGGAAAGACAGAATCAAACTAAAACTATTCCAGGACCACCATTGCCGACTATTTACTGATTGCAGCAGGCTATAAATATTTACAAAGGTATGCCAAGCTCAAAAAAGTTGAGAACCACTGTACTAGACCACACCTCTCTGCTATTATTGCTGTTACTTGAATAGTACTAGTAATTTGTTTCATCTGTATGCTCCTCAGTTTTAAGAATGCTTATGATCTCCATAAACATGTTGAAACACACAATGATTCAGATGCCTACAGCTGTGATGTTGAAGGATGTGTTTTTACTTCCCGGACTTCACAGATCTTGAGACAGCACTACAAGAAAGCACATACAGTGGGTATTAAAAAAAGTAGACTAAGTATCTTTTAATAAACAATAAGGTCTGATTTTCAAAATGCATGTGTATGTCCAAATACCTGATTTGTACTTGCACTTAGGCTATTTGAGTGCATTAATTAGCTATATTGTTGCATGTTTCTAATTGTGAAAACTGGGTCAATATCATGTTTTTCTTTCCTGTAAAAATCAACAAGTAATTCCTAGCCTGAGAAGCAAAATATTTCAAGAAATATACTACTTTATTAACTCATTAATTGACTGTATTAGTCCCTAGAACTAAAACAGCACACTAAAACCAAACTAGAAGTGGCTCATATGTATTACATGGTTTTGAACTTTTCTGAGTTATACAGGCAGTCCCCAGGTTACGTACAAGATAGGGACTGTAGGTTTGTTCTTAAGTTGAATTTGTATGTAAGTCGGAACTGGTACATATTATAGGGGAAACTCTAGCCAAACATTTCTCCAGAGCTCAGTTTTATTCTCCCACACCTCACTTCCCTCAGTCCTTTATTCTCAAGCTGAGGTATCTGCTGAGAAAAGCCGCTCCTTGTCTCCCTGGTCTGCTGGAGGGGGGGCGCTAGCTTCCCGTCTCCCTGGTCTGCTGGGGGGAAGCAACTAGTGCAGGGTTGCCTCACCCCGTTTGTAAGTAGGGATCTGATGTAAGTCGGATCCATGTAACCCGGGGACTGCCTGTAATGTCTGATGCATTACAATCCAGTACTGTCCAGGTGATGTTTGTGTAGGTGAAGTTGCTTTAGTGCAGTTGTGGGTACCCAGAGGCCCAATGGCCACATGCAGCTTATCGGGGTTCTATTTGTAGGTCGCAAGACATTTTGTTTACCATGCTGTGTTGCACAAAGTTGTGTCCATGTATACAGTTGCCATATTTCACCGGTTGCTTATCTGTGTAGGTTTTTTCCTACCGTATTACTAAAGTGATACTCACATAAAGCAAAGGCATGGGAAGCGAGGTGTTTGCTGATTGCACACAACATTGACTATCAGAGCTGTATTCTCTCTCTCCATCCAGTCAGAGCGCTGCTATGGTTCATTCAGCACAGCCTGCAAATTCTAGGTATGCAAGAAGTGCAGTTAGCAAACTACCCTATTCCAGGAGACTGTTTTCTTTACAACAATCTTGCAGCCCACTGAGATGAAGGAGGACCACTCATGCAGTCCACTCTCTAGAGTGTATAAAAATACAATTTTTATATTGTATTGAACCCCCTCCTCCTCAAACCCACCTTAAATTCCTCTCCAGGAGTCGGAGAGGGGGTTGCGATAGAACAAGACCTTTAAGAAATTGAAGTTACTATCACCCCGAGTGGAAGCCATAGTGCCTGCTATAAATAAAGATTGAGGTATCTGCAGTATAATTTTAGATTAGAGAGCTGCAATACTTAGTGGAGATTATCTACCAAAAATGTGTATTTACAAAATAATATACAGATAGTATTTTTATTAATTAATTTTACTATTTATCATCAACCTTAATTACTGATTTCCACACCATCTTTTCCTCAGAATAATGGCAAGCTAAAGTATAAATGTCACATCTGTCAGAAATGTTTTTCCTGGTGTTACACATTGACTCTGCATCTTCGCAAGGTGCACAAACTCAGCAGCCATTCTCGCTTCAGGTATATTATCTTACCCAAACCAAAAAATTAAATATTTTTTTTTCCTGTGGGGGGAGGCAGTATTGTATAAGAGCTACAGATTTTTTTTATTGGTTACCATCTAATGAGGAGCTTGTCTAATAAAATATATTATGAATAGATCTCTCTTCCATTCGTATTCATGTTTCAAGTCACACAAAGAAGTGCCATCATGCTTGTTTCTTTGTATAAACTGTTTCATTTAATGACTATTTTGTAAATAGCAATTTATGTTTCACCTTTTAAATGGCTAGCCCTTTGGGTTTACTCAAATTTTGTGGTTTTATGCACATATCTATATAACACTACATTAATATGTATTTCATTATTTTAATTTTATTTTCTTAGATACAAAGAAGATGATGATGGGTACATGAGACTGAATGTTGCAGTTTTTAATACTGTCGTGGGTTTAGATCAGGATCTTGAGAACGAGATGGCACCAAATAAGTTTTCAGTAGTTCAAAATGTTACTAAAAAAGAAAGCTATGTCTCTTGTGAAAGAAGACATTCATCTGTGGAACTACATTCCACAGGATGCCAGAGATGGTCATTAACTACTGTTGAAAAGGTTATAGTAGAATCTGAGACCTCTATAACGAAGCCAGTGTATTTTGAACTTCAGACTACTCCACAGTCATCTGAAAACTCTGCTGCTCCCTCTGAACTAGATGAAGCAATGACATTGAACGCAAAGAAAGAATTAACAGAAATTGCACTGGACTTGGGAATTCAGATTGCTGTTTAAGAAAAAGGCACTTTCTTGCATTTTACCTTGGGACCTATTTAGTGTTCATGGAAGAGTTCATTATTTTAATTAAATATGACATTTACAAAGAGTCTGCCTTATCATCACTTGTCAAAGTTTGTATGTAATGTGTACATATGTATTAAATATGCTAAATACACTAAATTATTTTATCTGAACGTATTATAGTATATCAAAATGGTTTTGCTGTATGTTCAGAATGTGATACCATGAGAATGGTTATACCTGCCAGAAAGCAATAGAACTGAGTCAATGGAGATGGTAGAAGAACAGCAATCTGGGCTCAAGGGCTTGAGGAGCTCAGTAGAGAAGTGGGACCCCCACATTTTTCTTAATATCATTGAATCTCTTTATTAATATACATTAATAAAATTTATTCACTTCATCTAGTTCAGAGGGAGCAGCAGAATTAACTTTATTTGTATTTTGCACTTTTATAAGCTTCCCCCCTTCATGAGGATCATGTTATTGTAGGCAGAGCTGGTAGTTACACACATAGTTAAGGTTTCCTAACATGTTCCATTGCCAAATGTTATAGTTCTGACTGAAATCTGTCATGCTGCACATCTGCCTTTGCATGATTTGGGGGGGGGGGGATATCTAAGAATGCAGTTTGAGAGAAATACATTTTCTTCATATTATACATATTATTGTACCTGTTTAATTGAAAAGCATGGATTTGAAAATTGGCAGAGAGATGTGCCTTTTGCTATCCCCACTAAAATCTGCCCGTTTGGCTAAATGATACACCTAAAAACAATCACAGTTCATACATGCTCAGTAGAGGCTTGTTAGATTCTGTCTGTACTGAGCATGTTCCATTTCCACAAATGGAACATGGTCCTTCCAAAGGCTGCAGCGCTGAATAGAACTTCCCTGGAAATTGTGATTTCTGGCCGCAGATACTATTGTAGTGACTGGCACAAGAACTGAGAGCATAGAAACTCTCTCTCCTATGCTCTTAATACCTGCCATTTTAGTGTCCATGTAGAATGGAGGAGAAGGCAGCAGTGGAGTGCTGTGGAGTGAAGAGAGGGTTTCTGTGGGTGTCGGGGAAGATAGTGGAATAAGACAAGAGTCAGGAAAGGGAAAACCAAAACAGGAGCCTTGAGTGATGGTTGTGGGAAAGGGAAGAAAGAGGCTGATTGTAGAGTGCTAGGATAGAGACAGAGTGGAAGGGAGAAAGGAAGAGTGAGTCAGTCTTGATGGGGAGGTGGGGAGATAGAGAAATGGGGATAACAAGAGTCTAGTCTGTGCCACTGGAGCAAAACCAGGAACAGAACTCGGAATTCTTCACTCTCACAATTCCGTTGTCAGCAAATGAGTATGAAACCCACTGACGGTATGTGCATCTCAACCCTCTCTAGTGGGTGGTCTAAGTAGAAAATGATAGTGTACTACTGCTGTTAATTGCTCCTTTAGCTCAAGTGGCAGAATTTGTGCTGTGGACCTAAAGGTTCCAGTTCTGCAGCAGTCAATATGTTTCCACATGACAATTTTTTTAATTGTTTGTTGTTTTTTTCTTTAGTAATAATTAGAAAATAACATTTGAAAAAATGTAAAGTTGCAAAGTCAAGCACTTAAAAGTTAGGAAATGCCAGAATTAGGATTGCTTGTGCAACCTTAGTTTAGCCCCCTTGTGTGTATGCATTATGATAGTCATTTATTATATGATCAACTATAAATTTTGCTATAGAACCTCTGCCACATTTAGTGCACTAATTTTGGCACGCCTTAATTTCTGAGTGCTTGACTTGACCTTACTGTTCTTTAAACATGGGATATTTGAATACAGTTACACAAAATTGAGGTGTACTAAATAAAGTTCAAAGCATTCTTTGTATGCTAAAGCATAGAAACATTTACTCTCTTACTACAAAATGTCAGTTGTTGGCAGGTCATCAATTGCATGATGACAGTAGATTGGGGTGGATCCAGGTATGGTTATTCATTCCTCATTTTTTTTATTCTGATCTTGCGCAGCCCTCTAGGTCACACTCCTTCACAGTTCTTATAGTGGTGTAACTATGCTTCCTGCAGTAATCACTATGTTTTAACTAGCTTTCCCCCCCTTTTTTGTTCATGCTATATTAGTATTGCAACAGCTGTTTTAATAAACTACAAAAGTATTGGGCAAGTCTGTCTTTTTAGTGCTGGATTAAGTCAAGCAAACGAAGCGGAAGAATGATCTACTAAATAAGGCATAGGAATGGGAAGCTGAAGTGTTCTGTTCTGGTTCTGACATAGGCTGCTTTGGTGATCTGGTACAAATTCTGTGTGGGATCCATAAGGGGATGCAGGTGTAGTAATGCTAAGCATTATAGAGCCTAACTTTTAGTTGCCTAGCAAATCTCAAGAACACCTCTGCTATCCACCAGGTCTGAATTAGGTTTCTTATACAATGATTGGGGAGAGACAGGAACCTCACACTATGATCTGCAAAGCCTGCTTGCTATGTTGGGAGCGGCTTAAGGTAGAGAATGGGAGATGCTGATAAAAGGGTTGTGTGTGAAGACTTGCCCCTCTCTCAGAGATAGGTGTATTAGTCCAGGCTGCAAGGAAGTGCCTGGGTTTTCTTAGCAACCCAAAAACCAGGGAAATATAGGCCTTGAGCAGCCTATGTTGCATATGGGCTTGAAACAAAATGACTGAGAACACGAAGGACCTCCTTTATAACACTTAGCCTAGGAGCGTGAATATTCATCCAACGTATGGGAGCCCCCCCAATCAAATTCCTCCCCTCCTCTGGAGGACAAGGGATTTGAACAAGGGACTCTCATCCAGGACCATTCTTAGAGGCATGCAGAATACAGGACAACTCTTGCCCTCTGCCCCAGACCTCACCCCCACTTTCCTGTAAACCCCTGCTCCTCCCCATCCCATGCTCATTCTACCCCTTCCTTCGAGTCCTGTCCTCTCTCCCGAGTGATGCTGGGAGCCAGTGAAGCAGAGTGGAGTAGATGGGGGCTAGTAGCACAGTTGCTGGACTCCCGCACCACCCATGTACCCTGTAACGGGTACAGAAGAGTGTGCCCGGCCAAGCTTAATGTCCTCCTGAAGTGTAGAGCCCCCCAAAGTACAGGATCTGAGGCAACCACTCCAAACTATCGTATGGACAGGACAGCTCTGTTGCCAGCTCTCAGGTGAACTTGCTTTTATGAGAACTCACCGGAGAGAATCGATCTGGCAGGTATGCTCAGAGATTGCCTACCAGATTGGGCCACATCCATGCAACTTCGATAGCCCAATATCTATTTGTCCTAGTGTATGACTGGCACTGGGCCTTAGGCAGGAGATAGATACCCGGATGCCAATCATGAGGCAGTAGTGCATATGCTCAGGCAGGAGATAAGCCCCCAGGCCTCTAGAGTGAAGCTGCAGATACCAGTTACAAAGGAAGAAACACAAGTGCCAAGTGTTTAAATGTCTACAGGGTTTTGTGGATTTCACTGGTGTCTAAAAACAGGACTTTGGCACCTAAGTACTTTTGCAGATTGCACCTACTGTGCCTTACTTTTCCCACCTCTAACATATTTCTCTACTTTCAGAGTTTTTATGTGTTCAAATATTACAGTGAAAAGCACAATCAAAATGCCTATAAAGGTCCTCACATTTTCAAAACCAGTCACTAATATCTTATGCCTCAGTTTTTGGATGGTCAAGTTGAAACTTAGAGAATGTGGTTTTCAGGATGCTGAACATCCATTAACTTCCATTAATTTATTCCCTAAATCTGCAAGGATATGTGCACTTGCTTATCTTTATACAGGTGGAGCAGTCCAATTGAAACCTTGACCTGACTTTAATTTAATGGGACCCTGGAGGAGGCTAGCCAGTCATAGCAGTTGGGGAAATGCAAACAACAGAGGATGACCTTGGTAAGTAGCACAGCTTTTTGGAAGTGCTGAAGAGAGTTGTTGGGGGCAGGAGGGTTGCAGAAATCAGGCTTGGGACTGTGTGGTGTTACCACCAACAAAGGGCTAGTCAGTTGTAGAACAGGGTGTTGATGGACTTGCTCCATGTTAATTGGTCTTACAGATCTCACCAAAAGTCTCATGAAGATGCTGGGCAATCTGCCTCCACAGGTTCCTTGGCAGAGCTGCTGTGTTCATTGTCCCATTAAAGGTAACATTCCCACGCCACTGGGCCATACGGAGAGGTGGGGATCATTGCTGCACAAAGGCAAGCCACGTGAAGCCATGACAGAAGCCACAGTCTTGAAGAAGATCCTCCCATGCTTCCCTGCTTACTCACAGCAGCAATACATCTTCCAGGATAAACTCAGCCTGTGGAAAATGTGAGAACATTATTGATTATAGGATCCCCCTACAGTGCTGGCTCTTTCCAAGACACATATGGCATGACTACAGTAAGGCCCAGCCCCTGAAATCCCCTGCCCCAGTGGTTAGCTTACTATTTTGTGGGGTTTGTGTCTTATGTGCTCACTGTAGGAAAGCCAGTCAGCAATAGGAATGAACAGTGCTTGTGTTTAAAATGGGTCATGTCAGTGCAATGTCTTAGTGTTAACAATGGTGCCTCTGTAAAATGTGGCATTTTGGCTTCCTAGGTTTAACCTTGGGATCCCAGCCTTCCTTGTAATTGCCAGATGAGTGGCTGTGCAGGGCAAGGAAGTGGCTGTGGAAAAGTAAAGAGGACCTGTTGAATGAGGTTCTGCTGCACGCTGCCGCTAAAAGAAAGAACAGAAGGAGTGAACAGAAGAAGAACGTTGAGCACTGGAATGAAGCTATGGAGCAGCTCTTAAACATGGAGTGCCAAGCTGCCGTGCTCCGGGCCTGTTAGCACTGAAGATGGAGCAGTTTCATGACCTCTCCCCCATCCCAGCCCCCATGCCAAGCTGTTTTCCATACAACCACCACCACCCACCATCACTGCCAACACACTTTTGCCACCAGCTTGTCCACAGTTGGCACCCGCTACATTCCA